AACTATCCAAATCTAGAAAAAAAAATATATCAATTGAAAGCAAAAAAAAATATTAAATATCTAACTTAGATAATGATTAAATCAGTTACAAACTTTAACAATTTAATTTATAGTGCTTTATTTTTCGTTCAGTTATGGCCTAACTGAAGAAAATTAAATGGGACAGAATAAATAAAGAGAATTGAGTTACTGTGAAAGGTGAGAATGAAAGAGGGTGGATTGATTTGAAGCTAAGACATAATTACGAACATAATTAAATAGGTGGATATATAAGGACTCTATTTTGGGCTAATTTCAATGGAGATGTTTTTTAATGTATCTGACTCTAAATTTGATACGTAACTATTGAATGGGGGTGGGATGAAAAGTAGTATCGATATACATTTATTTAATTAGATAATTTTTAATAACTTTAATATTTTTGATTAGTGCTTTGAAAAATGTTTTTGAGGTGAGTCATAGGGTGAGAGGCTGGGGGGATTGAAAGGTAGTATCAATATATGTTTAATTAGATAATTTTTTTATAATTTTAATATCTGGCCAGTGTTTTTAAAAATGTTTTTGGGGCGAGCGAGGGTGTGAAAGGTAGTATGATGTATGTTTAATTATATGATTTTTTATAACTTTAATATTTTTGGTCAGTGTTTTTAAAAACATTTTCGGGGTAAGGCGTACCAAAAATGCTTCGGGGCACAATTTAAAGACGTAGATCCTAAATATGTGGAGTAAGCCCCAAGCATAAAATGTAAGTCATGGGCGTAAAAACGTATGTCTGGACGTTTTTAATTTAATTTTAAAACTTCTTTTGCTTTAAATCATATTTTTATTATTGGTGTAATGAAGTAATTATAATACTTTTTGTCTTCATAATTGATTATTAAAACTTATCTCAAATAAAAATCATAAATTATTGAAAGGTTTACTTTTACTTATTTTATTATTAATAAAACGATAAAAATTTGAATATATATGAATATTATTTAAAAGATTTAATATATTTTTTCTACCCAGCACACCTTTCATGTATTAATTTTCATATAACTTACACAATATTTAATATATCGGTAAAAAAGAAGTAATTCATGGGACATCAAAAATGGTACACTGCTTTTGGTTTTCTTTCCTATTTAATCAAGGAATTAATTTGTATTGTTCTCAGGGAATTACCCTATTATTGTTAACTATTTTTGGTTTTATGTTTCTTTTTGTTATTTTTTTGGTATATGGAGTTGGAATTTTTATCTGTAGGAGTCAATTTCTTAAATGGTCACTTAAATTTAAAGAATTGTCTTAAAATATTATTTATGTTTCATTTAAAATCAAAATATCACTTAATTATTACTATTTTCCTCCAAATATATTTGACACTTTAAAAACTCTACTCTCTCCTAATTGGCATGACATGTCATTTAAGTTTTTTTTTTAAATAATAAACAAATTTAATTCGTTAAACTCATTTAACTAAATTAATGATTATATATATACACACACACACATTATAATGTCATCATTTTGAATACTATACGTTCAAAAAAATATTGGTATACAAATCACTCATAAATGCTAATTCACATCAATTAATTATAAATTGTATAATGAATCAATAATATTAATTGTGTATTTTGAAATTTATGCTTCCAGTAAGTGAATAATATTATATTTTTTTAATCCAAAAAATACTAAATTTCTCAGAAAATCTGCTTTTACTCTAGTTGATATGACATGTCGGTAAATCATCAATTCAAAAAATAAATGACCTATTAATTCATCAAACTTGTGTCTACACAATATATAAATGTATAAATTACATGAGATTTATAAGATTGTAATAAAAAATTACAAAAATCTTATTTTTTTTATATTTTTACCAAACAAAATTCATTGAAAAAATCTATATGTGCAATTATTACATGATAATAAAATTTCTAAGTAAACTATTTAAAAATTTAAACAATATTCTTTATAAAAATATTCAAATAAATTTGTAAGTTTGACAAAAAAGTTGATAAGAAAGAAAAATTTATCACTTAAATTTTTACTTTAATTTTTATTTTTATTATTTTATTCTACATTATATTATATTTTAACTTCTCATACAATTAAATACCAATAAATATTATTATCTTATCAAGATCTAAGAAGTAATGTGCCCTTCTTTTTAATGAATGATTTTACTAGTTATATTAATTTTTTTTTAAAATAGTATGCAGCTAATTACTTCATCAACTCATTTGAAATCATAAATCATTTTATTTGATCCATCATTTTGAATAAATTCTTATGTTTTTGAGTCAGAAATGACAATGGAGCATTGCGGATTTAGATATTGTATATTACAAATTTAATGATATATCATGAAAAAAATCATTAAGTAGAAATTTAAAAAAGCATCACAAAAAACCTCGAAATTCTCTTCAAGTTCAATCTACATATTTCTACGAAATTTAATCACATCAAGTTTCTTAATTAGATAGCACATGACACCGTAGATTAATTGTAAATTTGTTTGACTATACTTTCAAGAATATATTTGTTAGAAAGTGTGTCGTGACTCAAAATTAGGCATGATGACACTCGTCTTATCCCACTAAGACAAGTCAGCCTAAAACTCAATTATTACAATAAAACGCGAAAAAATTATTATCAATTTAAAAATACCCCCGAAATTTAGTTGTCACGTTTACAAGTCTCTAAAGTATTACAATAGATGTAAAAGAAAACTCAAGTCTCAAATGAACTTGTTTTTAAAATAGAACAAGATCATAATTAAGGAGAAAGAAAGTCTGTTGATACGACAAACAACTACCTCACAAATCTCCAAGAAGCCTCTGAAAAGAAGAGAATTTATCACGAAGGCTCGGGCTAGTAACCTACAAAAAAATTTGTAAAAGCAAGGGGTAAGTAACAAACCACACAGTACTCAGCAAGTAAATCCGTAAACACAAGCTAAGGGAACTGAATACGGGTACTCCTACCACCCCAAGAGCACCTCCCCATCTACAACCTGCATAAAATCAACCCAATCTAACAGCTCACAGTTTACATAGCATATAACTCAACAACAATACTTAGACAAATTGCATATCCTCCACAACAACACTTTGACAATACATATTATCCACATTAACACTTTGACAAATTACATATAACTCAACAATAATACTTCAATAAATTATATATCCCAACAACAAGCTCAGTATTCATCAATCACAAGTTTCGCAGAAAGACATTCACAAGATCAGCAAAACATAATATCAGGTTCATTAATGATAAGTATGTGCCATGGAATGCAATGTCTAGTTTAATGATATATGTCTGACCAAATGATACACACCCCATGTCTCTCAGTCCAGGACCCATGGGGAACATATATGTTCATGCATCTGTCACGGCGCACGACATAATCCTCGATAATAGTAATCATCGCGCGCACGATACGTCCCTCGAAATTTAATATCCATCGCGGCGTGCGATACGTCCCTCGAAAAGGTACATCCTTTTTAGTTCTCATTCTTTCTCAATGCACATAACACTTGTCACAACCATGTCTTAAAATAATGCAAATGACATGTTCACACAAATAAAGAGGATATGACCATTTTCATAACATTGCGCAATTCACAACAACATCAACAATGATTTAATAAGCCTTTCAAACCATTCTCCGTTATCAACGCATCACACACAATCAATTATTCACATTGCCTTTTATTACCATTTGTTTTTATCATTAGAATTAATCAATGTGGACAAGTCAACACATTATCAAGCCCATTACTCACAAACATATATCACAAGGAAATACACGCATTCCATATACTTAATAAGGGTTTAGAAATCCATTTGCCTCAAATAATTGAATAATTACTCCGCAACTTGAGCCTTCCCTTTTCGTTGTACTTCTAACTCAAAGCAATCTATTCATATTAATAATCTTAATAAGATTTTGAAAGTAATAATACTCATATTACTATGTGTTTAACCTTGACCCAAAGTTCAACCATGTTTACAATTGAGTTCTTAAATCTTGACATCAATTAATATTCTAATTATCATATTTTTCAAGTTTCGAACCTAGAATAAATTTCAAATTCTCTAATAATATCATCCTCATAATTTTAATATAATATAATATATTTAATAATTAGTTACCTATCTCATTATATTACTGTGAGAATTTATATACAAACTGAAAGTAATTTTATTAAATATGTCATCAGTTCCTTTATCATTGCAATCATTGCTTTATTATTGTCCATTTAAGAAAATTCATAATAATTAATAATATATATGTATATATATAAAAACGAAACTCACGTTCAATCAGCAAAAATGCTTAATCCAATTTCCTTTAGCATTAATGACATCAAAGAATTTCCCTAATCTTCTAACATTTATAATTCATTCTTATTTAGTAGTAGTGTTTGCCCTCCAAGACTTTTCCTTCCTCTTTCTTTTCTCTTCAAAAATAATGATCTCTTAAAATTGATTAACCCTAATATATTATTTTGATATGGGTTAAATAGTGCAGGATTTAAAATAAATTATCACTTTAGTTTATTAACTATCAATTAATTAAGTCAAGTAATACTAATATTTAAAATTTTTAAAAATAACCTTTCGGGTCATTACAAAGTGCGTCTTTTAGAAAAAAATGTTTTTATTTAGTTTTTGTGTTGTAATATTGCTGTAGTTGTTTTTATTTTATTTTTACTTCTTTTCCTTAAAAATATATACGTGATAATATGATTAGACTTGTGGATTTTCGAATAGTTGAGTTTTACAACGTAACTTCTTTGTCCATTATTTGCAAGAATTTGCTTTTATTTATTTCTTTATTCATATATATTAAAATCATAAAAATATTATTTAATAAATTTAAAAATATTTAACATTTTAAACTTACTTGGAAGAAGATTAATTTTATAATTTTTTTAATTTTGCGAATAATTGCGCGAAGCTCGATAAATACTTAGTTTACTACGAAATTTTGCAACAAATTTGAGTAATGAACATTTATAATAGTATTAATACAACAATAGAACTTTTGTTGTCTATTCTTGTTACATTACTCTCAAACACAACTAGTTAGATACTTACTTTCAAAATATTTAATTGCAGTCAATTGAAACTATAGCATATTAATACTTATTAATTAAACATATTGAAACTTCAATCCAGTTCCTTGAAACTTTTCTTCAATGATATGATTGAGTTTATCGTTCATCTCTGTAGTAAAATAATTCCTCCAATCTCCAATTTCTCCTCGACGAAAGAACACTTTATTTTCCTCTCCAGACGACAACTTTCCATTTGTATTCACCTCCAAACTTTTCAATTTCTCAAAGCTGCACATTCTTAATATTTCATCCACCACTCCACAATTTTCTTCCTCTGTAGAAAATGGACTTTCCAAAAATTCAGCCAGGCGTTTAAGCTGAATTTTTGGTTTCTCTTTAATTTCTTCATACATCAAGAAAAATACTTTGTTAGGATTTTCTATGCTTTGTTTCCAATAATCCAACACGTGATTCCAAAACGGACCAGAAAAGCTCAAACCTTCACAAAAAAGATCAAACATTTCATGAATAGAATTGGTATCTTTGTGATGACATCTTAAATTGTTTGCAAAATGCCACATAGAAATAAAAGTGTCCTTAGGATTCCTACATAAGTAAATAAGTTTGGTTTTTGAATCCAGGACTGATTTTGGCAATGTAGCAAAGGGCATATGAGTTGCCAAAAGTCTAGGTGAAGTGAAAGTTGAAAAATCAGGAACGTGACCATCACCGTAGAGTTCATGCTCCAAGAATGGAACAAGCACATGAGGATTTTTAACAAGTAAAGGATGATTAGGTTCAAAAATAGGATGTCTCACTCGATTCACTAGAGCGAATAAAAGTGATTTTAACCAAGTAGTTCCTGACTTTGGAGTAGTAACAAGAATGATATCACTATCTTCTGCTTGAAATTGTTGTTGACATGCAATCATACCTTGAAGCAATCTTGGTGGTATCCAACAACCTTGATAATTGTAGATATATGACCCAATCCATGCCTTTCCTTTTGGTAAGATAGAGAGCAATTTCTTGCACTCTTCACTTAGATTATCCTCTTGTAAATATCTAGGAGGAGAAGGTGTCATGATTTTATGATTTGAGTATTTTCTTCAAGTTTGGGGTTTTTATAACAAATATTCATGAATACACTTATTATTCATGTGAACGTTTAGTCATACACTTCATGTGAGCTCACCACTTCACATTTTTCATGTCTTTCTATTAGTGATAATTGCTTGGATTAACTTATTTAATTTATTAAGAGAGTGTTATTAATGAGAGTATGGTAGAATAGTTAGCAAAATTCATTAAATGTTTTGTTCTTTGTCAGATTATAATTTTAATTTCAAGACTAATTTTTTTTGGAGTTTATTTATATCACTTATAACCATTACAATCTAATTTAAACAACAAAAATAATATAATTTATTCATATGTTAAAGTACACAAATAAATGTAAGAAACTATTTTTAATATGATAAACAAGTAATAGTGAGCGAAGTGTGACGTCCCGCCATCTATCCCGGCAGATCGCCACCTATCCAGGCAGCTTGCAGCGTGTGAAAGGGGACAGGCGGCCCAAAAGGTCAGCAGACGAAGGGGCAGGCAGTCCAAGCGTGCAGCAGACGAAGGGGCAGCAGTTTTCTGCCTTAGAGAGGCTTGTGCAGGCCCTCTAGAACGTTGGGGCAGACTAGAGAAGTCTAGGAGTCCCTTTTGGAAGAGTTAGAGACATTCTTAGAATGTAGTCATGTCTTGAGTGCATGAACTTAGGGACTTGTATAACAACATTTATTTACTCTTAGTCATTAGAGTAGTATAAATAGGAGAGTCATTGTATTTGTAAATCATCAATCAATTGACTAATAAGATACAAGTCTTTCTTCCAAATTCTGCCTTTTGTCTTTCTTCTTACTTCTCTTAGTGATCCAAGTAGTAAAATGCTTACTTGAGTTTATGAGATCGTGCAAGAATCGTGAGTAAACCATCAAGTGCCGCACGGAGTCTTGTCCGAATCAAAAAGGCCGTGACAGAAGGGTGTATATAATACTCAATTACTAGCAAGAAAGTTTGACGTAAAACTCTTTAAAATGATAATGATAGTAAAATAAAAACTTCTATATCATCACATATAATGAATTTGGTATAATATAGTATAACAAAAATGCATCATCTGTTCATAGTTAAACTTGATATATTTTTATATTTTGCAAACAATCAATGATAACAAAATCACGCTAAAAGTACAATTCATTAAAATTAATGCATAATTTGCAACAATTTGAGTAATCAACATTTAAAATAATATATATTAGTGATACAATAGAGCTTTTATTGTATGTTCTTGTTACATTACTCTCAAACATAACTATTCGTACATTATTGATTTTGAAAATAAATAAACTATATTCAGTTCGCGTTATATCATATTAATGCCAAATCAAATATATGAAAATTTTATTCTGATTCTTGAAACTTTTTTTCAGTGATATTATTGAGTTTATCATTCATCTCGAGATAAAAATAATTCGTCTAATCTTGAACTTCCCCTCGATGAAAGAGATTTTTATTTTTCACTCCAGCTAAACTTTTTCCTTTTTTATTCACCTCCAAATTCCTCAAATTTCTAAAGCTACACACTTTTAATATTCCATCTGCAACTCCAAAATTTTCTTCTTCAATGACAAATAGATATTTCAAGAATTCAGCCAAGTGTTTAAGCTGAATTAGGTTGCTTTAAATTTCTTCATACATCAAGAAAAGTACTTTATCAAGCTTTTCTATAATTTCTTTCCAATAATTCAATATACGATTCAAAAAAGGACCATAAAGACGCATACCTTTTCAAAAAATGACCAAACATTTCTTCAATGTAATTGGTATCTTTGTGATCATCAAGTCTTATATTATTTGTAAAGTGTCACGGAGAAATAAAAGTATCTTTTGGATTCCTACATAAGTAAACAAGTTTGCTTTTAGAATCCAAGACTGATTTTTGCAGTGAAGCAAAGCGCACATGAGGTTTAAGAGTCTAGGTGAAGTGAACGATGAAAAATTTGAATATAAAACGATATTTAAATTTATTCAATTTGATCAGGAATATAATTTATATTTGGCCATTAGTAAATAACGAATAATCTAAATTGATGAACTTTCAAGGAAATAATTTGGTATAACTATCCAAATCTAGAAAATAAAATATATCAAATGAAAGATATAAAAAAAATTAAGTATATAACTTAATGATTAAATAAGTTACAGACTTCAATAATTTGATTTATAATGCTTTATTTTTCATTGAAGAAAATTGTACTGAGACAGAAGAGGTAAAGAGAATTGAGTGACCAACATGGGAGGGCTGGCAAGGGAACGGGGAAGGGGACTGGGGTACGGGACGAGACGAAGGGGGACGGACGGGACGGGACGGGGGACGGGGAGAGGGGATTTGACACGGGACTGGGATTGGGGGAACAAAAATAGGTCCCATCCCGTCCCACTATATATACGGGATGAGATGAGATTTGGGGGGATGGGATGGGATGGGACGACATGGGACGGGGGATTTTTTTTTATTTTTATATATTTTTATTGACATTATATGTCTTTAGCTAATAAATTTTAAATTTAATTTTTGATTTTCAAATATCAAAACAAATTTCAAATTTAAAGTTTCAATTTTCAAATTTTAAGATTCATGTTTCAAATGTCAAGTTTCTAACTTTAAAGTTTTAAATTTAAAATTTGAGAAGTTTAAATTTGTAATTTAAATATTTTAAAGTAATGTAAATTGTAAACTTTAAATTAAGTATTTTAAAATTAGTTTAGTACTTTAGTATATATTTAATTGTATATATTAAAATTAAAATGCAAAACAATAATTGTATAAAAAAAAACTTGAACAAAAGTTAAAACCTTTAAATTTATTCAATAGAACTTAGACGTTACAACTTACAATTAACAAATATTAGTGGAATAACTAATCTACGCAGCTACCTTCTAGGAAGGGTTCTGTCATGACCGGAATCTAGACTCTAGACGAGACCGGCGTCGTTGACCTCTCAGAGGTCGCAAACAAGCCTACTTACGTCATTCTTACTTTACATAGGTTAATTTTAGCGGAAAATTTGAAATTTTTGATTCTTTAATCATACTTGCTAAACATTCTTAATATTTCGTAATCGTTCATCATCAACCATCTAACATTTAAGAGATAAGCAACTAAAAGAAATAATTCATTAAGTATTAATTGTATATCGGCCAAAATAGCACCTAACAAAGTCTGAACCAAAACAGGAAAGAAACGCTAGTGGAACATGCTCCACTAGCTCAACTCTAAAACTACGCTAGAATGTAAAACAATAGCATCCTCGAAAGCATGAGGACATACCAAACTCCGGATGAATGCTGATGTCCGGACAACTGCAACAACGAACCTGTAACTCTACCATCCACCTGTGCCTGCACCTAAAAGTAGATGTTTGTATGGAATTAGTACACACTTGTACTAAGTATGGGTATATGCAAGCACACACCAGGGACATGCATGAGGAAGAAGAGCTCTTTCCTAACAACATGATGTTTAGAAGTTAAGTCAGTGGACTTGCTAAATTGAGATTGGGAAAGTTATGCCATGAGAGTGACATGCATCATTATAATTATCGTATGGCACACAACACATAACATCTTCATATAGCACATAACATATAACACATAGTTTCTTTCATATTATTCATTCATATACCATGAGACCTTATTATCATAGACTTAACCTTAAGACTTTCCAAAATGAGGGCTCAACATATGGGACCTCAACTAGGGAGCCTTCTTTAGCAAACACAGAGTCTGCTTCATTCCTTCATACGTATTTCATTTCAATTCATTCATAGGCCAGTGCGAACACCAGCGATACCTAGGATGTAGTTTAAGACTTTCATCGGGTTTGCTGTGCAATGATCAGGAATAACCTAATGTCATTACCTGAATCTAGCTCACCTCTTGATTATCTTATCCTAACACCTTCGGTATCATTCGTTTCTTTATGTGATTCATTTGAGGCTGGCCTCATTCATTCATCGGGAACTTTAACTTTAACCGACATAGATCATGTGAGCATCATGAAATCCAGTGTTTTCCCCACACCGAAAAGAGGTGGAATCACCGGCCAAAGCGATTCAATAACATGCTAGCGTATATGGGAATTTAACCCCGCCAGATCCCTATAGTGGCAATATAGGTTCAAAGACTAGGAGATGTATGGAGACCCATGCCCGGCAAGCCGGACAGTCTCATCTCATGAGAGTTATGTGAACCTCCGCCCTTCCCGAAAGAAGGCATCACCGCTCATAGCTAGCCTATCGATGCTCAGTATAAAGTTCCATTACATTAAACTCATACATCATGGAAGTTGGCTTCTAGTATGAGGACATCATAGCTCAATAGATGATTTCTCATCTCATCATTAGTATTAAGTGTTTTAAATTCAATATTTTTCATTAGAGTGTTCATAGAGACTGGTCTCTTCATTATCTTACACTCTCATTGGTGAG